TCGATGCAACAAATCCGTGGCGAGGTAGCTCTTCATGAATGGTAGCAGGATGTCTGATGTCGCGCAGGCTTCTTACGAGGCTCCATCCACGAGCCCTAATCCCCGCTCTAACGCCAAATTTAGGCTGATGGGACTGTATATCCGTCCTCCTTCCCCTACGCTCTCAGAAATGAGTGTAGGTAGAGAAAAAAACAAAAAGTACTGCTAGTTTACCGTAGTGATTTGAAACACACAATTAGAAGTCACTTTTGTACCCACTGTCAAGTTTTGGGTCATATTAGGCCGCTTTGCTTATGCCTTGCACACAAAGCGACCCTATTCCTGGACATCAACATATTTCTTGCTTTGTCTTTGTGAAGGTCAGGGTAGGTTGCTGACATGTAATAATCTTTATCATCCTGTTGTTTTGAGGGACATGCGCGCCAAGGTGGTTTTGGACGTTAAGTATTAACTATAATGTCAGAAATATGTTATATGATTTTGGCCATTTCCAACTTTTAAAGGCCAGATTTGGTCACTGACCTGATATGAACACCGATAACCTTTTGCTTAGAAACAATTCTTCGGCCAAAACTGGTTGCGTGAGGAAGTCTTAAGGCGCTTTCGGCACCGATTTCGAGTGTAAATTTGTTACCTTATTTGAGCCGAGTGTCTCAAGTTAGGAATCCAGAAATCTGACGCAAATGAGCTCGCCCAGACCCCTACCTGCCACGTCGGTTTGGTGTCCCTAGATTTCTTAGCTTTTGGAATACCCGCGGCCAGATTAACCCCCGCTCACCCCACCACAAACGCCAACCCCACCTGCACCCAGGCGCGCTGCACTCGGCCGGCCACGCGGCTGCGTGTCAAATAGGACAAAAGCTGCGGCACACTCCAGTGTTGCATTTCGTATCCTTTTTTCCCCCAGGTATCTATTTACGGTGTGATAATTCTGCAAAGTTTCGGCCTTAACATGGGCCCAAATGGAGGGCGAGCATCACTTAGTGGCTCTTTCATTATGCCGGCGCCGAAAACGACTCGCCCGGGGACGCTCGGGAAGCACGCCAATATCACTGTTTGTTATGGGATAACAATAGAACATTGTAACATCTGTTTGTTACGGGATAACAATAGAACATTGTAACATCTGGACCACGGATTACAAGGAATTATCATGCCGTCTGGCATGTGTGGTAAAATCTAGGCTGTCATGTAAAATGAGTATGATTCTACTCATACTTTGTGTGCCTTGGGTGTATATAAGTAATGCGAGAAAGAGACGTCGACGAGAGTTATTAACCTGTAAGGAACTTGTGTTGCACAATTAGCGTCCACAGGTTAAAGGGATGCGCTGTCCGGCCTTACCAACGGTAAGACCGGAATAAGTAGGCAAGTAAGTAAGTTGGTATGTAGGTAAGCCTGACCAGTCATGCGCTGGAGTGTGTATTACCAGCAGCCACAACCAAAATCAGCCCACACCAATGATCCTATTGTCACTTTAAAATGTTTCCAGTATGCCATCGAACAAGACTGTGGGAATGTACACCAACAATAGTGTACTTAATCATGCTAGAATGTATTGTTTTCTACGCGCAAAATGTACGTAGATTAAGACGATATACGAGACGCACCAACAACACAACACTTAATATGCGATCTCGTAACGGAGGTACTTCGCGATATTGGGGCGTATTGGCAGGGGATGCTTGGAAAGGCATTGAAAACGTGTGCGCCGTAACTATAATGGAACTTGTAATGGAGCTTACTCAAACTGGTCTTTTGCATTGGCGGAGCAACAATACATGAGGTGGATACCCACCCGCCCCGGCACTGGGGTTGCAGGTCACACTTTGTGAACCGTATCCTTAAAAGGGACCGCTCTAGCGCGGACAGCAGCAATTTCCTCCAGATGCATCAGCGCTGTGTACGCTTCCTATCATGTGGCGCCGATCAATGGGACTGAAGGTTACGACGTGCTACAAAATAGCGCGCAAGCTGGTAAAACGACGGCATACTCAGGCACTGTTGCTGAGAGAGCTCTTTGTCTCACACGCCACACGCTGAGGAGCCGTGCAGCAGGTTCCAGCTCGGACTGGGTGTTATGAGCTCGGTTCTGCGCAGTCCGTTCATTGTGATGGCCTTCCGCTCATGCGTGAAGCTTTTCCGTAGTATTCAATTGACTTGTGCTTGCTTCGGGGCGCTGAAAAGGCTCTGCGTAGCACTGGAGTAGGCCACACATTTCGCAAATTCATCCTGTCGACGATTTGTGTACGCATGCGGCATTTTTTTTCGTTTTTAAAGCTTGCCTGCGGCATGGGTGTGTTCAGAAAAGCGGGTTAAACTTTTTCAAAATAACTGCGGTGGACCTCACGGGTTAGTTAATTCCATACGCGCAACGCCATTGTGAGCATTTGCGAGTTAAAATGACATTAAATGAAAATAAATTTGGTCCATTAGCAAAAAAATCACCCGCATGTCTGCGTAGGGACTGTTCCAAGGTTGACAAAAATTTGCCGATTCAAAGTTGTACGTGACGGTTTTTTATTTGTTTAAGGTGTGTCGTCGTGTGTCATTTCTTGCCGCAGACGTACCGTAATATTCTGCAATATTGGGCTGCGGCGTATCTCCGGTGTGGTGGAATCCATGATGCAGTGGCAAACATTGCAGCACCGTGACAAACAGGAGCTTTCTCCACTCGCTTTTCTTCTCTACACACTGCATTTTCCAGGCTAAGGACACTCTGTCAGACTAATAAAGTGACGCTTTCTCTATGCACACGCTATCTCTATCTCTATCTCTATCGCCGCCCACGCACTGTGTGGGCGGCGACCAAGCCCATTCTCTCGGAGGAGGCTTGCAAAGAGCATTCGATGACTGATTGAGCCACCGCGAGTGACCGATCGCGCCGAAGGCCCGAGAGATGTCCGTGCGTGTTCTGGAATATGGTTTTGTAAGATTAGCTCGGGCCGATGAACCTTGGCTCCACAGCGCTGTGGTCGTATGTGCTGTTGCATTGCAGGTGGTTGTACGTCAACCTCCGTCCACGTGTTGCTAGTTTACAACGTGGAGCAGGACACATCGCCGGCGGCGTAACGGCAAGGTGCTGGAATGTCCTTGGTTGGCGCGGATCTAAATAAATAATACGACCTTGAAACTATTCGCGTTCCATTGAGCTTCGTATAACACCGGCCGCCTGTTGGGAATATGGTAAGGAGACTCACTAAAATGCAGGACTTCTTCTGGAACAGTTTAGAGGCTTAGTGGAAAGGAGTGCGGGATTTTTTCTGGAACGGTTTAGAGGCTGAAGTGGAGAGCTGAAGAAGGGCCCCGTCCAGCAAAAACATTGTGCTAAAGCTTTGCAACATTAGACATATTTCAGGGGTATTAAGGCACTAGCCTTATACTAAGTTTGGAAAGCTGACGTTCATGGGGCCCATTGGCGTAAAGCATATATGTGTACATTATATATATATATATATATATATATATATATATATATATATATATACGTGAGCGCTTGCGTGCATGCGTGCGTGTATGCGTGCGTGCGAGCGAGTGCACCTGAGCGCGCGCGTACGTGCGTGCGTGCGTGCGTGTTTTCATCGGAGGGAACCGCAACTGCCCTTTTTATTGCCATTTGGGATACGAAGCAAGCTTTTGCCGAAATTTTACCTTGTCAAACTGTCCTGACTCTCGCCAGCACCGGCAATGAGGAAACTTTTCTCCGGTGTTATGGAAGTAAGACCCAAACCGTTGCACACATCGCAAGGAAGCTAGGACGAGTAGCTTCAACATTGTTATATGACTGTCCAGTTTAAATTCCAGCCGTCCAGGCTGACGACCTCTGACACATGCAACATCCTCAACAACCTGAATCGACGTCAAAGCAGTGTTTCAACGCAGGCGTCTTCGTAAAGATTTGCGTTGTCTTTGGATGCGTGGGATAATGTTGCAATCAGGCATGGCTTCAAGTAAGAAAATGTCTTTCATCGTTTGTAAGTGATGGCAGTTCCACACATGAAAGCATATTCCACGGTCTATTTTGAAAAAATATGCTAAAGCACGTGACTTCTACACCAGGAAATCCACATACGCGAATAACCACGTGGGCATTTGTGCAATGCATGCGTCTGGAGATCAAATACAAATACAAATGGCCTCATTTCAAGTTGTGCACTGCGCAGGCGCGGAATATTGACGCCCCGCGACGCATTTCAAGGTGTGCACTGCGCAGGCGCGGAATATTGACGCCCCGCGACGCATTTCAAGGTGTGCACAGCGCAGGCGCGGAATATTGACACCCCGCGACGCATTTCAAGGTGTGCACTGCGCAGGCGCGGAATATTGACGCCCCGCGACGCATTTCAAGCCCCGTGCGCAAGCCCCGTTTTGGTCCGTCGGTTCTCAACGAATGAGATAGCTACATCATGCATGTCATTATTGATCGTGTGTGACCTTTGGGCAAAATGGCCAAAGTAGACGGCGCGCTCTTTAATACAGCTCATGAAAGCAATCAGCTATGGCCTTTGTCGAATGCAGTACATATCAGGTTGATTTTGGAAAAGAATGTAAGCTCATTCCTGCAGTTGGTTCCAAAAAATCAGCCTCCAGACACGTCATATTACCAGTTTAAGTGTATCTTCTAAGTGTAAATCTAAGTCTTTTTGCATTACCGCAACATTTTGAGTTCATGGGATAGCAGAAGGGACCTATGAAGTGTTAACTTGATACTGTGACTTGATTTAATGTATCAAAGATTGCATTCACAATTGTCCAGTCACACCTGTCCGATACAGATCGACAAAAGGGCTTCATTTCCGTCTTCCTCCAGGCTCTAGTTGCTTAGTTTTGCAAGATCGTAAGGGGTCGCCGAGCTATCCTCACCTCTCGAACGGCGAAAGTGGAAAACTCCCGTAAGGTATGGGACAGTTCGGAAGTAGATATTCGCTAAATCATCACAAGCATCACAATTTAAAGCCCTCTTTCCAGGGCTGACTGCACGACGTGTCCGTGTCCGGCAGGGCCAGCTGGCCTCCTACGCGGCGAGGACTGTGTCCATAGAGGGCGACCGCGGCCGCCTGGACCTGGACCGGCGCACCTGGGCCCTGCTGATCGCTCCGGCCCGGGCCGCCGACAGCGGCGCATACAGCTGCTCGTTCAACGACCAGCCCTCCGACCACAGGATCGTCAAGCTGGAGGTGCAGGGTGAGATAGCCACCGGCCAGCGCGGTCCTGATCGGATACGTCATGCTGGTCGTCTCCTCAGCTGCTGCTTAACAGGGGTCCTCGCGTGGCGCCTTGGCTCTTGCGCTGCGCATATTCCGCGATTTGCAACTGGCTTACCCGCGCTTCCCCGCGACCGGTTCGCAAGCACGCGTAAGCCTGCTCTCGGACGAGCGTCGGAGTGGTTTGCCGGGGCGGCCTTTTAAATAATAGCTCTTGCCAGCCGGCGTGATCTATCCACGGCGGTCGGGCCCGTGCCGGCGGCCGCGCCGCCAGCATGGACTGGCCACCGCGGCTCGCGTGGTCTCGCTCCGCCACTCAGGCCGCCGCCAGCCGTTGCACCCGCGCCGATCGATTACATTTACAGCAGCGGGATTTATGAAACGCAGGCTGCCGATTTACGGCCGGTGCGTCCGCTCGGCCGAGACGGCGACTCCAGCGGCCTCCGCACCGCCGTAATCAGCCATTAATTTTTCACCTAATCAGATGCCGGTCGGCCGGGGCCGCCGCGCGAGAGGCGCCCATTACCGGCCTGCTATCTGAGCCGGCGGCGAGCCCGTGTCAGCGGTTAGCACCGCAGGGGATGATGCAGTGATCCGTTTTCGTTCCGGTCGAACGTGGCTGGCGGCGGCGGCGCGCGGCGTCAGCAGTGACAAATACGTTAGCGGCATGCACCTATTCAGAACCGAAGGGTGGGGATGAAGGCTGTCGCCGTGCTCCCCCCCCCCCTCCCCCCGCACCACAAGCGCCTTGGTGACCTCGCCGCCACTCTTGCATGACTGATATCACTGACGCTGCTGAGCGTGCGTCACCGCTGACGTCACTGATGCCGCTGGAACTCATCGGCGCCGCCGGCAACGCTGACGCTGCTAGGCACGTTGGCAGTGACATCACAGACTGCTGCGGTACCACGACACCACCGACAGCACTGATGACGTCGGTAGTACTGGCGCCACTGGTACCAATGATACAGCCGGCAACACTGTTATTGGTAGTAGCACTGGCGCATCTGATGCCACAGATGCCGCCAGCACCACTGATAATGTCAGAATGACCGACACTACCAGTTCTACTGGCAACCCCTGAACCCCTGAGATCACCGAAACCACTGGCACTACCAAAACACTAATACCGACAAAACCACTGCCACCACTCAAACCATGGACAACTGAAACCGCTGACACCGCCGAAACCACTGACACTACCAAGGTTACTCACGCCACCGAAACCACTGATACTACGGAAACCACTGACACTGCTGAAACTACTGGCACCGCCGAAACCACCGGTACTATCGAAACCGCTGATACTACTGATACCACTCACACTACTAAAACCACTCGCACCACTTACACTACCAAAACCACACACACTACCGAGACCACCCACATTACCGAAACCATCTACACTACCGAAACCACCCACACTGCCGAAGCCACTCACGCTAACGAAGCCACTCACAATTATCGAAACCACTCACACGACCAAAGCCACACACTACCGAAACCACTCACACTACCGAAGCCACTCACACTACCGAAGCCACTCACACTACCGAAGCGACCCACATTACCGAAACCACTCACACTACCGAAGAGACTCACAGTACCGAAACCACTCACACTACCGAAACCACTCACACTACCGAAGTCACTGCGCGGCCGGCAGCACTGTGCGGCAGCCGACACAGCCTTCTCCGAACCTGACGCTACGCCACTTGGGCGAGGCCATCCCTATCCATACAGATTGCATGACGCAGCTTGAAATGACACTGAAACCAATTGAGCTCCAGCTAGATAACATTATTCAAGTTTATACCCGTTCGGTGCTGATTTAGAATTGCTCGATGTGATGCGTTGAAAAATGCTCCCATTTGCCTGCGATATTGATTTTCTGCCCAGTCCGCGTGCTCCATGGGACGTTACGCCCACATAAACTGCCTAATACGCGTATGGCGCTTTACTCCACAGACATAATTGTATATTTGTGCACGTCCGACCAGGCAGTGCTGGGGTATTGATTCGATTTTTAAACTCGGCACTAACTTGTACCTACGGTACTATTTCGCAGCGTTGGATTCTAATCCACTGATCACTCAGCGAGATCATGTCATGATAGTGTAATACGTAGGTCTTTAGATCACACTGCGGCCTGTCGGTGTCTTGCAGCCTAGGTCAAACCGTGAGCACGGTTTCACGAGGCCGCCTGTGGATCTCCTGTTCAACACGAGACCGAGGGTGACACCTCTGCTTTAGTGACAGCAGTGAGATCTTGCACATGGACACACCTTTAGGTCATCTGATCTCCTCTTGCATTTTGGTAGTCAAGGACAAGACATGTTTGATGCCGCTAGATATGCCACGATTAATTTTATCGAAGCGGAAGTAAATGATTCCGCTGATTGCCCATTGTCGGGCTTTCCTCTCTGCGGCAGAGCGCCGTAAGAAAACCAGCCTGACAAAGCTCAAAAAGTGTTTTGTAAAGCAGGGCTGGTGTGTGGATCAAATCCGTTTGTCTGCAGGTGATGGATGCATCCTTTTTAAGATTTGCTATTAACCCTTTTGAATGAATACGTTTCTGGTGGAAAAGCTCGCGCTAAGCAACGCTCGTTGTGTGAGCCGTGACCTATATCATCCGATCGTGCCGCACCGCGTCAAAGATGGAATTCGGTGGCGAAAGTTCGACGTGCTGCAATGCTCGGCACAGGCCGTCCTGCTCTTTGACGTCACCTGACCTGTAGCGCGGCCGCTACCACCGGCCGCAGGCCATACCTTTTCAAAGGCAAGTAGCCAGCGCCTGAAGTGAATCGCACCACTGTTGGGTGGATCGGAAGCCAGGTGTCTGAATCAAGTGAAATGTGAAGACGGGCAAGTGGATCCTGGTGGACGGACAAGAAGGCGTATGAATAAATATTGAGTTATTTGTGAATGACGCAGGGCAGCCAACCCTCACCGAGCCGTTCGAAAAGCTGGGATGCCTGCAGCCTACTCTTTCTCCGACCACTTCCCACGGATAGATGGTACGCCGAAGTAGAGCACGGACCAGTCTTCAGTTCTTGCCGGCAGGAACTGTTCTCCTGCTGGACTTGAGAAGTTCTTAGTGTGAAGCAGGGACCGGGTTGTGACGCTGGCCTCCTTACGATGCAGGCATGGAGCCTTTCTCTGTTGCTTTATGCCCATCCGATAGCAAGTACTCTGCCAGGGGTCAGTTTTGATGGTTTTTGATAGAGCGTCACTTGGCTGAGTGAGCTTCGCAGCTTTACTGCCGGCGGCCAATCGACCCCCAGCATGACATCATCATGACTGTCACCTGGGCGACGTTCCGCGGTTTAACGCGCGGACGCCCGCCGTGCGCCCTACGAACCATACTGCTGACGTTTATAAGTATGTGCCGCGTTTGCAGCTGGAGTTACAGGTCCAGCTGTCAACTGGAATGAGGCGTCGCTCTTGACTTGTGTTGACCGGTTTGCGGTGCTGCTCTGACCGCTCCGTGACCTGACCCGACTTGACCTGGACCTGACCTGGCTGAGCGAGTCGCGCCAGCTGCTGTATGTGACTCTGGGATTGAGGTGTGCTGCTCCGCAGGCGTTCCCAGTCCGCCAGGCCGGCCGATGGTCATCAAGCACACGTCGCGGCACATCGACCTCAGCTGGGCGCCCAGTCTGCAGACAAACAACAGCCCCATCAAACACTACGTCATACAGACCAGGTGAATGGCGACGCCGCCCGACGGTCGACGCCAGACCTCGCCTCGGTCGGCGTGGATTTCCAGCCATTTTCGAGTTTGGTGGAGCTATGTGACACGGGGAAATCGCTGGACACGGGTCATGATGCGCTGGCTGGACCTCCCGGAATTCAAATACCACAGCCGGCCGGGGTGAAGCTCTATTCAGGATGGGGGAGGGGTTTTGGCTGCAAAACAGACCTTCCGTGGGGAGATACACACGCACGGATGCAGAAGTCTTGTGAGAAACACAAGGTTGGTGGCGCTTTTCACTACTGCAGCGTTTGACGTAAACGTGACAACGGCCAGATATGGTGGCTGGATGATATTGAACACATCGTCGTTACAGACAAGAAAGCGCTAAGCTCCTGCATACCGTCATTATACATAAGAAAGCGCTAAGTTCCTGCATATCGTCGTCATAAATAACAAAGCTTTAAGCTCTTGTTTTCGACACTATTAGTGTGCTAGAACAGTCACTGCGTATACCAAACGGTACTGACTCAGACGTACCTATGGCACCCAGCGGGTCTACGACCCTTGTTAGAACCGATGAGTGTTTTTATAACTTATCCAAATAATTGCTTCGTAGGTTAGTTTAACCGGTGTCTTCCGGTACGTTGGAGGTTTGATATTCTCAGGAAACTGAACTTTATTGCTTTAGCATAGATTGTACCTTCTAATTAGTTTGATGCACCATAAGTACAGCTAGGCAGAACTTCTGTTATACCACATATTAAATGCCATTAGCTGCGTGAAGTTTTAAAAGTTGATATTTCTCAACTGGACTTAGTTCTTACCAAGAATTTCTTTCCGAAAGGATCGTGTGAAATTTTATGAACCCAGCCGGATGCGGGTAGGCCTGGCAACTTCAGCCGCATGTGAGTAAGCCAGTCCATCAAACAGAAATAAAACGTGTGAACACTGCTCACACGAGGTCCCGGCAGATAATCCCTATCTGTCTGGAGAGCGAGTTACGGCTTCTTGGCCGGTCAGTATATGACGTCCCGGTCGACCGATGACCCAGCGGGCCGGCGCCACAGCAGTCCGGTGTGACCATGCAGCTCGGCAGGACGAGCCGGAGCAGCGGGCCGGTGGCACAGCAGTCCGGTGTGACCATGCAGCTCGGCAGGACGAGCCGGAGCAGCGGGCCGGTGGCACAGCAGTCCGGTGTGACCATGCAGCCCGACAGGACGAGCCGGAGCAGCGGGCCGGTGCCACAGCAGTCCGGTGTGACCATGCAGCTCGGCAGGACGAGCCGGAGCAGCGGGCCGGTGGCACAGCAGTCCGGTGTGACCATGCAGCTCGGCAGGACGAGCCGGAGCAGCGGGCCGGTGGCACAGCAGTCCGGTGTGACCATGCAGCCCGACAGGACGAGCCGGAGCAGCGGGCCGGTGCCACAGCAGTCCGGTGTGACCATGCAGCTCGGCAGGACGAGCCGGAGCAGCGGGCCGGTGGCACAGCAGTCCGGTGTGACCATGCAGCTCGGCAGGACGAGCCGGAGCAGCGGGCCGGTGGCACAGCAGTCCGGTGTGACCATGCAGCTCGACAGGACGAGCCGGAGCAGCGGGCCGGTGGCACAGCAGTCCGGTGTGACCATGCAGCCCGACAGGACGAGCCGGAGCAGCGGGCCGGTGCCACAGCAGTCCTGTGTGACCATGCAGCTCGACAGGACGAGCCGGAGCAGCGGGCCGGTGGCACAGCAGTCCTGTGTGACCATGCAGCCCGGCAGGGCGAGCCGGAGCAGCGGGCCGGTGGCACAGCAGTCCGGTGTGACCATGCAGCCCGACAGGACGAGCCGGAGCAGCGGGCTGATGACACAGCAGCCCGGTGTGACCATGCAGCCCGGCAGGACGAGCCGGAGCAGCGGGCCGGTGGCACAGCAGTCCTGTGCGACCATGCAGCCCGGCAGGACGAGCCGGAGCAGCCGGCCGGCGCCACAGCAGCCCGGTGTGGCCATGCAGCTCGGCAGGACGAGCCGGAGCAGCGGGCCGGTGGCACAGCAGTCCGGTGTGACCATGCAGCTCGACAGGACGAGCCGGAGCAGCGGGCCGGTGGCACAGCAGTCCTGTGCGACCATGCAGCCCGGCAGGACGAGCCGGAGCAGCCGGCCGGCGCCACAGCAGCCCGGTGTGGCCATGCAGCTCGGCAGGACGAGCCGGAGCGCTTTACGGCCGCGCCCCGCCGCTGTGTATGCGGCGCTTGCCGCTCGTGACGTGTGGCCTTCATATTTCAACGAAATTTCAGAACAAACACCGCCTATGTGGCCCAGGAGTGTCGTACCGCCGCACATAGCGCTCAGCTGCCGTTGCTCTGGAAAACAATGGCACGCGCTCGAGCTCTGGTGGGCATGGTCCTCAACGCGGGAGGAACAGCCCTGGGATCACTAATTTGGATGGAAAATGAGGAGATGATGTCCAGATAATCAGCCTCGTCGGCTTCATTTGAAACGCGCTCCCGCCGTGAACAGCATGGCTTTGATTGATCAGAGTCAGAAGCAGACAGTAGCTGCCAGTGACGAGTGCTACCAACGGCTGCTGCTGAGTTTTCAATATGAGATACGTCGCTGGCACTGACTCAGCTTTAATGCTGTTCGATCTTTGGCAATGATCCTCGGGTCTTTGTCGGCGATTGCATCGCGGATTTATTTAGCCGGCCTCGTTTCGCAAATGTCCTTTATTTGCTCTGCATCAGTTTCTCGGACACTGAATGGGGCCGTTTCCGCAACTTCATGAAAAGGGGCCTCTTATTGTGGAGCTGGAGCTCGAGAAATATTGGACGGCCGAGATTTAGGGCTGTGCCGTGTATCTTGGGCTGGGGCGCGTCAGCTCCAGCTGGCCATAAGCGGTCGGTGGGTGTGTCCGCTTCACTCCGATAAACCGGCTCGTCCCTCTCGCAACAGGAGACCGCATAGTTTTCCATAACGATGACGCTCTGAAAAATTTAGTGTCGCCTGCTAGCGATTTAGAAGATTGCCCGAACCGGATTTGGTAAACAGGCCGATAAAATCAGCTCAGCATCGCTGATTTTCGTAATAACGCACGATTTCACAGCGGGAGAGAACGCGGTGTAGTATTACGCTTCCTAACTGTCTGTAGCCAGGCGGCTGTGACAGTCAGTGCGCTAAACGCCTGTCAGTCAGGTCAGATGAAACGTCAGACACAGCGTGCCGATCGGTTGGGCTCCGGCTCCTTACTGTCGTGTTTGCGGTCGCCTGTTTGTTAGCTCGCTGATTATGATGCCCGCCGGTGGTGATGCGCTGGTCCGCCCCCTCCCCCCTCCCCCTTGGTGGCCGGGTCGATACGTGATGCGGGCCGCTGGACGTCTCTCATAACGCAGTAAATAATGTCGATGATCCTTGATGGCCCCATAACGAGTCACTTGAAAGCCATTTGACCTCCTGGGGCTGCAGCGCATTGGCTTTACGTGACGTCACTGGGTCAATTATTTATTCGCTGTCCCCATGAATCAACGGCTTGGATGCATCCACAGAGAATGGACCGACGAGTACCACATCACTCTCTTGTTGACCTCAGAGATCACATTTCATCTTGCCGATGTTCTAAGAGGGAAGGATTTTTGCGGCCCGTCTGACTCTCGGATAAAAATGGTCTGCTGGTCTGCCCGTCAGGAGAAGCCCGCTCTCCCCGGTGTGTTGTTTGGCTTCGCGAAGAAATGAGGCGCGGGAGATACATTTGAGGTCACGCCCATCCAGGCGGCGCAGACGACGCATTTGCCGCGCGCGCCGCCATCGCTTCGTCTAGAATAACACGCCAGATAAGCCATTGACAATGCATCATTTTTCCTTTTCTGCGGTAGAAATGATAGTCCCTTATGCTGAGGTGGCGCGATAGTATTCGCCGTGCCCGCAAACATCCTCCGGATGGCTGGTGGCGTGTTGTGAACATTCCAGACGATGTATTCATCTGGGGGGGGGGGGGGGGGATCATGATCTGGGAGGCAGCTGCCCGCGCGCGAGGCGATATGACAACGATAGATGAAGCGTTTTCGGATGAATATTCCTAAAAGCTGCTCCCTGGCATGACAGATAAGCATGCTCGGAGCGGCCCGACAGGCCGGCCGTCTTATCTAGCTCCTCTCCAGACTGCTGAGGCCAGCTGTCCGTCGTTTTGCGCCGTTTGAGACAAAGTGCGCGTTCCATCACGGCTGGACGGCGCCCGCGTAGTGCCCGCAGCTTCAGCGACGCGCGGGGGAGGAGGGTTATATGTCCATAGTTTGCGTCTGAACTGTCTGGTGTCCTCCAGCTCAAAGAAATGCCTCGTCATTTTCACCGTCATCTTTGGTGTTTATGACTGTCATTTGTTCATAGCCGTGTGAAGCCTTCTCGCCACCGTGTTATTGATTGATCAAGCAGGCACAAATGAGTGTACACGTGCGCGACATGGTTCGACGTGGCGTGACACATAATTTTTGTGGTGCAACAACCAGCGAACAGTCAGAAAGGGCCGAACGGCAACTGCCTTTTGTTGCACCACCATGAGTGTAGGAACAAGGGCCCAGGCGGGCCGTAATGTCCCCCACCCCGTTTTGAGCGGTTAGCATAAACTCTGTGGCGATGCATGTAACTGCAGAATTCAACCTTGACAACCACCCCTCCCCCATATTCCCTTCCCCCTCCACGCACACTTTTCGAGATGTTCCTAAGCCTGTCTGCGGCACAGCACATTTGCCATCTGGTCTAGCTAAACTTTTTTCAACATCGCTGGCTATTGGGTTTTATAGGCTATTAAGTTTTTACAATTCCAGCTGCTATTGGGGTTTAACGACGCGTTTTATTAACCCCGGGTATGATGTGTTGAAAGCTCCCGCGCCGCTTGTCGCGAGGGTTCAGAAATCGCAAGAAACACTGAAACGTTGACTTTTGTTGTCATGCTTGCACTCCAGTCAATGATGCCACGTGAGGACTAAAGGCACCCCGCTTCACCTGTTTTACGCATTTTCTATATCATATTGCGTAGATAACG